AATAATTAAAAATTTATTAAGTATTTAAAGAATATATAAACATTAGTAAATAAATTTATTAAAATTTAAAAACTTAAATAATATTAAATTTATTATACTTAAATTAACTTACTTAAAGGAAGCTAAATTATTAAAAATAAAACTAAGGCTTAAATAAAAAATAATAACTTATTTAAAGGATTATTTAATAGCTACTGCTATATTCTCTTTAATTATTTTATAATAAAATAACTCTTTACCTTACTCCTTAGCTTTTTTTTATATTTTATAAATATATAATAAATATTTTAGCTTTTTTATAAGCTTAAACTATAACTTTAATATTTAAGCATTAAAAGACTTAATATACTTACTAGTTTTTTTTTCCTTATACTTTAAAGCGCTCTTTTATATAAATACTCTCTTAATTAAAAAATAAGTAATTATTACTTATAATAATATCCTAGGAACTTATATAATTCCACTATAATAATTCTATTATAAGATTTCTTAAGTTATATATAATTAATATAATAATTAAATATATTAAATATAATATAAGTTAATTTTAAATAATAATAATAAGAGTATAATATATTTATTACTATACTTATACTTAAAATATACTTAATTAAAAAAAAGGCCTTATAATACTTTTTAATAAAAGCTATAAAAATAATAAATAAAAAATATAAAAAAGAAAAATTACTTATTAAGGGGAAATATATTATTATATAATATAATAATAAATATTATATAATAAGCCTTAAGAATAAAACCCTTAAAAAAAAAGTATTATATTATAACTTAATCTCTTAAGGAATATAATATAGTATATACCCTAAGATAACTTTAAAATAAATAATTAATTAAAGGAGGACTAATAACCTAATAGTAATCTTATATATTAAATTAATATATTTAAGTAGTCTTTAAAATATTAAATTAATAAGCTATATTAATCTTTATAAAATAACTTACTATATAAGTTAATAATATATATACTTATTAAATAACTTAAATAGTTAATTATTAATAATATAATAATATTAAATATAAGTTATACTTTATTTACTAATTAAGTAATTATATAATATACTTAATAATAAATATTTTATTTTATTTGCTAATATAAATATATGTATTTATCCCTTAGGAACCCCTTACCCTATAATAATAACCTAGGATCTAGGGACCGGATTATTACAGTTATATTCCTTAAGAGATTAAGTTATAATATAATAGCTATTACTATTAATACTTACCCTAAAATAGTAAGTAATTAATACTCTCTTTATATATATTAAGGCCTTAGAGAAATTAGTAAATAAGTAAAAAATTACTATTAAAAAATAAAAAAAATAATTAAATACTTATTATATTAAAGAAAAAGAGAAATTATTTAACTTAAGTAATTAAATAACTATAATAAAAACCTTAGTAATAAAAAGAAATACTTTAATAATATAAAAACTTACTTTAAATACTTTATTATTACTCTTAGTAAATAATAAAAAAAAAGTTAATTTTATAGCTAATTGCCTTAGAAAAGTAATTAAAGAATAATTTAAGCCTTATATAAAGGACTAGAATATAAACTTAAATTAAAGAGACTTAAAGGTAAAAATATAATATATTTTTAAGAAATATTAAAAGTATAAGAATAAATTTATTAAGGCCTTTAAAATTATTAATAAATAATAAAAAGCTAAAAAATAGCTTTAATCCTTAGTTATAAGAATATAAAGTATAAGGTAGTAATAAAGATTTAGTTTAGAAAGTTATAATTTAATTGATTAGTTAAAAAGAATTTCTAATATAAATTAACTTAGAAATCCTTTTTCTTTTATCTTTCTTTTTTGCTAACTAATAAGGAATTTAATAAAAACTTTAATATTATTAGAATGCAGTTATTTCAAACTATCCAAAGGTATAATTTTTTTTTCTTATTCCTTTTAGTTATTTTACTATTAAATAGTTTTTATAAAAGGTTTAAATTGCATTCCAGTAATTGGATCTGCCGGGCCGGGCGGGCCGGCCTTCCGACGGTCCCGTAGGTGTAATTTACAGGCTTCTAGAAAATAGGTCAATTTCCTGATTTTCCTCATTTTGCAGATTTCTGCAGATTTTGCTGATTTTTGCTGATTTTCCTAATTTCGTAAGGGTACCCAGCACCGCCGCATCCGACGTTTCACAAATGTCCATTAATAGAGCGGGATATTCTCGAACATGTAATGAGCCGCCACAAGGAGCTCGACCGCTGCTCGAGGACATGAAAAGAAGTAGCCCTAACACAATCAACATCTCAACAAGCTAGTCCAAGAGAAAAAAGAAAGGAAGAGAATCATGGCAAGGAAGAGGGTAAAGTCCTAGAGCTCAAAATAACATCATCGCCGTTGATATCGACTCTTGGGTATTTCGACCTCCACGTCACCGAACTTGATGCCACGACATCGATAAGGCAAGAGGACCCGAAGCAAGTTGCCTCTTGTCCAGCAAATGTAGGTACGTATCTGCTACTGAGTCAGTTCTAGCTCTGATATCGTTTTGTTAGAAGAAATTCACCTGCAACTAGCCAACGTTTGCTAAGCACATTAAGAGCCTGCTTGTGAGTTTGAACTCTTAATGTATACTCTTCGCATGGTGTCACCTGGTTGAGGAAAATGGACACCGCAGCCGATCGGTAAATCCAACTAAGCAGTAAAGGACAGTATTGATCTGTTTTCCCCTGACTACTTTCCAGTAGGTTCGAAAGAACAACCGCTGACTGCCACGAAATAGATGCTAGGGTAGACTGTGATTGTTCCCTTGTGATTGTCTGTGGGTCTTGGTTCCTCTCCAGGAGCAGTCGACTATGGAGTATTATAAGAGCGCTACGAAGTTTCTTTAGTCAGCATTTCCCCTCACAATCGGTGATATCGGCAGACCAACTCCACGCAAATGGTATGTGGGACACAGAATCGTGTTGATCTCAGTTCCGCCAAAGTTGCGTTTAAGTTCCAGAGTGCCTTTAGGGTTCTATCAAGTTGAGCGATATGATCCTGCGTTGAGGATTTGCCAAGGTCAGGTTCAGTGGCGACGCGAAGGCTCATGCTGAGAAGATTCATCGCTTGGACAACTCGTGCAAATCGACCTACTTTAAGAGTTTCGGTGGAGGCAAGCCTCAATGGCTCTCGCTCTTGCCATTCCTAATAGATCACTGTCTGATTAGTTTCTGTTAATAAATGACAGCCACAGGGTGACCGACTCCCTGATCCCATTTTCCATCCTCCAGGGGTAAAAGTGCATTAAATGGCGGGTCCGGTGTACATAGAGATAGGTGTGGACAGCCGACATGTATGTGACTGGAAACGTTAGGGCTTAATGTAAACTTCTAAGAGAAGGCACCTTACCGATCTAGAAGTAAGACAGTCCACCACGCTCGGTTTTGTTCTTCTTTCTCAATCCAGCGGCCTGGGGTATTCTCAAAGGTACCAAGCCCCTGATCTAAGCCAAGGGCAGTCCCATATCGCGCACACAGCCCGATTGTAAGATAGGCAGATGGGTAAATGCCGTGTCCTATCTCGTACAACGCAATAAGCAAGGCTGATTGAAGTATAGAAATACTAAGGACTTTGCTCATCTCGACATCAGAAATAAGCTCTTTGGCGATCCGATAGGGCTCCGTAGTCTCGGGTTGAATATTGGCGCATCCAGGGTCTGACATGACTAGTTTCATGCAGAGAATCAATAGAGCTAGGTCGGAGCGTAGCTCGGACGGAGAATTAAGCAACACACTATGAAACCTGGCCTTGGATATAAAAGGCAGTGGTGGATGAAGAGCGTCAAAATATCGCGTGGCAATACGGTGATTCTCCTCCACATCGCCTATATGGCTTAGAAGTACGCTCGATTGAGGTGGGGTGGCTGGCAACAGAAGCGTCGCTTTACAGTGCTTGAAGACGGTTGAGTCTAAAAACAAAGCCAAGGGGAAGCTGTCTTGGTTTCCCCTAGAAGTAGATGAAGACGAAGCTGAGTTCAGAGACGATTGAGCTTGCTGTTGGTGCCCTGGCTCTAGGAACAGCGAAGAATACTCGCACTCGCGGCCAAACCTAGGGTGACACACACTAGTTAGAGACGACCTGCCAACACTGCTCTCTTACTTTCCCGACTCACCGAATACAGAGCCCGCATCGAGGCAGCTCTCGATCACACTTTCGCTTCCGGTCTCTGCAGGAAACGCATGCCAGCCACGCTAAACGGCGTTGTCGCTGCTCTTCCATGGCCTTTAAACTGTTAATGCTGTATTACATGGATTTGGTAAAAATTGTCCAGCGTGAAAGGGTTGGACACAAGTAAGAGGGGCGCCGTAGGCTAATTTGCATTCTACGTCATATTGCTACAATAGTGGATCCTGCCTTGGCTGTCTTAGAACGCTTCTAAGCGTTTTAGATATGCCGCGGCTATCTTGAACACGATGGTTTAGTTCTCTATATATTGTGGGGGGTTGCGGACTACCCCGCTATTTATTTTGGACGATGCAAAAATCCTTTATTTTGTCGCCTCCAATTTGTCCCAGCATTCCCTGCCGCTGTCTTACTCCACGGCCCACAATAAGTGCCCGTGTGTCAGGCCGGCTCTTGGTTTCAGTATAACATCAGAAGATCAAATTCCACGACTGCATCCGATGTGTTACACGATTGCACATAGCAGATACACGCAGATGACTTTGCATTGTCAATCCAGATAGAAGAAAGGAGCTAAGCGAGCTCGAGGCTCGCTTCCAGCTTGCGCAGACATTGCTGTGTGGCGACTTAGGCGAACTTCATCTAGTTGACAATAACGGACAGTTCCACATCATGGGACATAACCTTTAACAATGGTATAAAAACAGGACGCCATGGAGAACACTTTACCAATATCAAGGGTTAAGTGAATAATAACGTAGCAGTGTCTCATTTCATCGGTTCCAGAGCATGAAGTATATTTAGCTTGTATTAACCAGCTTGTAAACTATAACGGAGCAAATAGAGCTGCCAGGTTTACTTGGTCACGTCGAACGGTCCCAAGACATCAAAGTCAAGTCTCAGAGACTCAACCATTGCGAATGCGTTCTCTGGTCCCCAAACATCCACGCCTGATAGCCGTCCTACCCATTTTTGGTTCGTTACATTGTTGCAATAATCCGCCACGTTGTCCAGGTAAACCTTGAACGCAGCCCATGGATTTCCTGGGTTCGCTTGGAGCGCCGCTGGCACCATCTCTTGGGCAGAGATGGGGTTCGATGCGTTCGGCGGTTGAGCACTGAGAATGATGGCATTGGCGCAGTTGGTTTTCAGGTCTGCGATGTAGTCGCGTTGCGCTAGCACGTCGGCGCGGTCGCCCGACCGAGTTAGATGTCCGCCCACAAAGTGGTCGAATTTGTACTCGAGGATCTGGTCGTGTGCATGGATGAAGCCCGGGATATCTTCCGCCAACGCGAGATACGCAAAAGGCGCCCATCCAGGGAAGACAACGTCGACAAGCATGAGCACCTTCTGCCTAGGTGCATAAATAAAAATGTTCCCGGGTTCATGGTTAGGCCCTTTGTATGAGAGCTTAAGGGTTTGATTGCCGTTGTGGAGAGTATATTTGTCCATAAATGTGATCTCGGGAAGGGGTTGATTTGAGGTTGGAACTGCGGCAAGTAGCCCTTTAGTGTAGGTATGCGCGATGCGGGTTACATTCTGGAATAGGTATGCGCCACCCACGTGGTCCGAGTGTGAATGGCTATAAATAAAATGCGTAACGGGCTTATCAGTGACGTTACCAATCGCATAGGCGATGTTATGGCCGATGGTGGGGGGTGCGTCAACAACAATCACCCCGTAGGTGGAAACGAAGAAGAGGGAGTTGTATTGATTATCTGTCACCATGTAGGCACCTCCCCCGAAAGTCTCGACACGATATCCAGCATTATTTAGGGGAGGAGAGTCGGCAGATACTGGAGCCCAAGTCGGAATGGAGAGAATTTCGTGGCCGCTGCTGAGGAGAGCATAAAGGGCTAGAAGCCCAGCATATATCAGTCTCATCTTCACGTTTTTGAGTCTCGGTTGAGAAGGTTTGGGGTTAGAAGTAAGCAGTGCGCAGGTAAATAATATGTTGAGAGCCGCTGCTGTCGCTGGTCAAGGGCAGCCAGTCGTCTTTCAAAATGATATGCATGAAGCAGGATTTCGTGTAGTCATGCCCGTCTGATGCACTATAAGGGCGGCATTAAAACAGGGCAAAGACTCCAATGCTAGGACACAATTCAAGCTTGGAAATCCTTAGACTAACAATGGGCAAGCACAATTTGTAAGCTCCTCCGCCTAGATCCCAAAACATTAGGTTATTCAAGGGTATGAAGGCCAAATTTGTAATATAGGCGACTACATCTATTAGCTAGGTAGGTAGCATCTGGGTCAATCACCATTGCTTGTTGTAATGTATATTATTAATTGTCACTACCTCGTTGATTACATGCTGATCAATTGGTTCATACTTCGAAGTATAGGCAGTATGATTCCACATGTATAAGTTTTTTAGAACCCACTAAGCGAGTTTATTTCCATGCTTCGGTAACTTCCATGTTATTGACAGCACTAAGCAAGCATAACAATATCGTCAACTTACTTGCCTACAGTTCCAGGGGTTGCGGACTAGCCCGCATTTTAGGCCTTGTTTAACTCCCAGCCCCTCAGTCCCTACTTCAACTTATCGACAGGTGCTCAGTAAGCTTAATAATGTCAGTTAACTGACTTAGCTAAAATTAAGCGTTGCGGACTAGCCCGCATTTTAGGCCTTGTTTGACTCCCAGCCCCTCAGTTCCCACTTTAACTTATTGATAGGTGCTCAGTAAGCTTGACAGTGTCGTTAACTTGCTTGCCTAAAGTTCCGGCCCAAGTTGGCTCTACAGCATCCCGTGTCAAACTTGATGCCGATAATAGCAGATACTAGAAAAAGGTAGCGACTGTAGAAATACTGGGAAAAGGCAGCGATGATAGCTGCGATGCTGGATACCTTATGTAGCTAATTTTGGGTGCTGGCTGGTCGCCCGTTCTATACATGTATTCTAGCTTCAAGCATCCGAAGAATGATTCAATGCCGATGGCAACTTCATGTCTCCCACGGCTTGTTCCGCTAGCTCAGTACACTCAGACTCGCGAAGTGCTAGGTGTAGCAAACTGGTCTCGACATATAAACTGAACGTCAAGCAGCATAGCAGAGAATATTTAGAGCTCAGAACATATCCCAGCTGGGGACATAGAGTGTAGATAAATCAAGCTATTGCCAAAATATCAGAAGTCTGCGTTTCTCACTGCAAGCGCCAATCATTCATTCCACATGGCTCTCAGTAGACACCAACTTACTAAACGAGAGCGAGCTAAGTATCTAACCAAAATACTGACTTTGTTAGTGTATACTTGTATACACAGCCTAAGCCTACTGTTTTTGATTTGGTATTCTTTTTTCTATTTTTCAAGTAATATAAAACCTATTAGTATAGGTAACCAATGGCTCCCTGTACTTCGGCGCTAACCCTTTGACCCATCTTTGATATATGATGCGACTGTGAGTCAGATTCGTACAGTTCATGACACGCCCGCGCCTTGCTTGGCGAGCCAATCTACCTGCTCGTTGCGTAGTATATCCTCATGTCCTGGTGGTCAGCCAAGCTTACTGAAGTGATTTAGATGTCAAAACTTTAAGCAAATTAACCTTTATGGAACATGACAGGGGTCCGACTCTTATGTACCCTCTGTTATACTAAGTGCTTTTAGGGAGGAGGTAACAACATCACCACTGCAGCATCGAAGAACCGCACAACAAACGTGGCGAGTTCCATCATAGAGAGTGAATTGTGGAGTAACCGCATCTCCGTTTTCACAAGCGAGATAGGGATATAAGCATGATGATAAACCCATGATCGTAACAAGGGCTCTTATACAAGGATGGTGGCCAACTCACCGGATTGGTATTATGACCTGACAACTTAATCGTGTCAGATTATGAGTAGAAGGAGAAGAATGAAGAAGCACCAAGAAGGTAACTAGCAGCAGACTAACGCATACTTAAAGCTCATAGTCATCTAGCAGTTGCAAGGGACTGTATCTCCACCCAGTTTAACAACAAAGAATATTATTATCTCCCAGTAGCTTTCGCCACACCGAGAACAACTGCGGCTCCTACAGTCCTAGTGCCTGGATAAGGGCTTATGTAACCAGCTTACTTAGTGAACGTTGAAAATAAATTTTAACACACCGATTGTTATCTGGATCCTGGCATAAGGGTGAAAGTAAACCAGTCATTGCCTCTGCTACTTATCATCACATAAAATTGTAGTTGTAGATTCGATACTTGCAGTTAGTCAACAATACATAGATAGCTAATTACATTTATGTAACCTACGTGGAGCAATGTGGAAAACTTAAAGCCCAAAGTCCACTGTAAATCCTCCCCTCCAATAAAAAAAAAGGGGGAAATTCAAACCACATGTTACGTGACGTGTACTATCCTTAACCAAACTTGGATCAAACACAATGGCCCTCATTTACTGTGTAGCTTTTATTTAAGGCTTTTTTTTTAACTGCCGTGTTTGCTTCCTAATCTCCCATGTTGCCTTACCTACTACTATGATACACCGCTTGCCTAGCGTTCTTTGCCGTAGTCCTATGTTTGCTCCACAACGCTCTGTTCCTACATGTGATTACAGTGTCAAATTCGCTCCATGAATGGGACGGAGTCCCCTATAGTGGAGAAAGAATCTGGCAAGAAGTTCAGAACCTTCTTTCATTACGAATGCTATATGTTTCATAAAATTGGTTTTTTTCGAGTATTTATATCACTGTCAAACCCCAAGATATCAACAGTCTTCATCACTCAATTACTTGCCTACATCTCACCTGCCAAAGGTCATCCCATAAATCATTTCCACCACCGAAGTAGGTTCTCAGCCAGTTTATAAGTTTACTATGTCTAATATTTGGATCTTCAGTTATCGACACCATGAAGTTCAACTTGACTTCTTTCCTTGCTCTGGCAAGCATGTCAATGAATGGTGCTCTTGCCGGCATCAATTGCAATGGCAATGCCCTATGCTCCTCAACAGCCGGAACCCTCGGCAAACTTATTGGATATTCAAACTCGATCGACCCTAACCGTTGGTATAACAATGGGGAGCAAATTGTTTGCCAGTTGAATCAACTTGGAACTGGACTTTGCGCGTACCTTCAGAATACTGGCGGTGCTCCTGGTAGCTCAATCAAGCCTCTACTTGAGCAACTGTCTTATCATGGATGCAACAAATGCGGCAGCATCCCGTTGTTTTATCCCCAAGGAGATAACAGTGATGCAAGCCACGGAGTCCTTACTGTCAACTACGTTGCCAATACTCACGGCTGCAATGGCCTTTGCTAGAGCCTATGCATGCATTCCAAGTAGAGCAGCGGTTAGAAATACTATGGACATCAAGAGGGTATAATGGGGCGGAATAATGAGGCAGCAAGAGAGCTGGATATAATTTGGTGTGTTTTTCCTTTTGGGTTTCCCACCCCGTAGTTAGTGCAAATGCAGAACCATCTTATTGCGACGAGATTACTGGTGACTCAAGATTCATGCTCAATTTCGTATTCAAAAGGAAGACCTCATTAGACAGAGGATAGAGGGATAATGATAGGCTTAGGATTCGATATAATATAAGAAAATGCATTGCCGTGGTAATTTCTAGAGAGAAGCTGCATATCTATCTGAGTACTGAATACGTAATAAAAGATTGCTAACCCTTTGTAGTCAGGCAGGACGTATCGCTGGAGCGGTCTTAGTGGTTATAGATTTATCTTTTGCTACGACCGCTGGGTTATCAGAAATTGTCAGGTTTGATACCGGGTTTGTGTGTGGGCGACATGGGGGGTGCGCTTCTTTTTCCCAATGCCTACCAAGCGCTGCCGGGCCCTGCTCCTAGTCTTCGTCTGGGATATTGCAGAATCTCTTCCATTTGGATCCTGGGAACAGGCTGCAAAGATGTCTGAATTGTTTACTTATGCCGTTACTTGTTGTTTCAGTCCGCCTTGCTTTTATTATCCTAAAGTATATTTAGCTCCAGACTTGTCTAATCTCTTATGTTTCTTTCGGCCGCTCAGAAGCTACTGGCGACAGTATATATTCTAATTGTTCAAGTTGTCATCTCTACGAATCCGCTCAGCTTAAACTTTGCGAGCTCTCCAACTTTCCCGACTCTTCAAGCCACACATTAAAGTCTCAAAGAACAGAACACTCGCGACCTGACGGACACACGTAACCACTGTGGCACACGACTGACGTAGGTATGCGATGGGACCCCACACGATACATGAACAGCACTGATTTCCTCTGCAAGCGCTGGCGGTGCATTAAATTAAGACGAGCGGTCATCCTCCAAATACAGTCCGAGTTCGTTTCGTTGTGTTTATGTCACAATTCCAGAAACCTACTGCTTCCTCATACATACTGTGTCATTCTAGTTTTCACCTTTCCACCTCACTCAGGACGATGACTATGCTCGTTTTCGCAGACTTCCCAATAGCTAGTCAAATTCCTTCCGGCTCGCTAACGTGCATTCATCTTCGCATGCACGACTCAAACAGCGTGCTGACCTGTTATCGCGGCTTTGTCCATCTACGAGGTTCTGCATCCTACTACATTGGGTCAGTGGCTGCAGGCTTCATGCGCGTTCATCGCACAAGGCAGTTGGTTCAAATCCGGCCAGGGTACCCTTTTCTGGCTAACCTTCCCATAAGACACACAACCAATAAGCAAGCCTCGACTTGAAAAGACACAATGCTTGGGCCCTTTTTAAGGGCTTATAGCAGCAATAGCTACTGCAGCTATAAAGAAACTACTTCCCTTTGTCACGAGACATGTAGCGAACAGGGGTCAACACCTCCGGCTATTGGTTGATAAGCTTGCTGTCTAGTAGGCCAGTTTCTAAGGAACAAGACCATGTGGAGGTAATTAAGACTAAAACTGGTAAGCTAGCTTAAATACTTACCTTATATAAGAGCTAGCCTTTAGCCTTTTACTTAATTTAATTCCCTTTTTACTTTGTTTATTATTTACTTTTTTTTTTTTTTTTTTACTTAGCTAGCTTAAATATTTACCTTATATAAAAGCTAGCTTTTTTTTACTAAATTCCCTTTACTTTATTATTTTTTTTTATTTTTATTTTACCCTTAGGCTTAAATACTTACTTATATAAAAGCTAGCCTTTTACTTAATTCTTTTTTACTTAATTCCCTTTATTATATTTATTATTTTTTTTTATATTTTTTAATTAAACCTTAAAAATACTTACTTATATAAAAGCTAGCCTCTTTTTATTTAATTCCCTTTACTTTATTATTTTTTTATTTTTATTTTACCCTAGGCCTAAACTTTTACCTTATATAAGAGCTAGCTTAAATACTTACTTAGCTTTTAGCTTCCTCCCTTTACTTTAATATTCTTTTTTTATTTTTATTTTTATTTTCTTTTTTACTTTATTTTCTTTTTTAACTTACTTAAATACTTACCTTATATAAAAGCTAGCCTTATCCTTTTCTTTTCCTTTTTCTTTTTCTCCCTTAACTTTTTCTTTTATTAAAATATATAGCTTAAGTAATATATTTACTATCCCCTTAGTGTATTTTAATTATAAATATAGCCTTTAATACTAGGATTAGGAGGAGTAAGGGAAAAAGCTCTTTTACTTCTAGGCCGGGGGTCTCCTTAGTAATATAATTACTAGCTTTAAATACTTCTCTTATACAGGAGCTAGCCTTATCTTTTCCTTCTTTCTTTCCTTCCTCTCTTACCTTCACCCATAGCCGCATAGGGGAACACACTTACCCTATACAGTAAGTAATAGTAATTAATAATAGTAATAGTAATAGTAATAGTAATAGTAATAGTAATAGTAATAGTAATAGTAATAGTAATAGTAATAGTAATAGTAATAGTAATAGTAATAGCAGTATTATATAAGGGAGGGGAAATTAAAAGTAAAGATATAGGATAACCTATAATAATAATAATAAATAATAGTAATAGTAATGCTAATGCTAATGCTATAGTAATAGTAATAGTAATAGTAATAGCAATAGTAATAAGTGTATTATATAAAGGGGGGGGGACTATACTAACTATACCTATACTACTAGGCCCCCGCTTTACCTTACCCTTAAGCTACTAATTATTCATTAAGCCGTATAATATTAAGCCATGCCCCCCTCCCCTTACTGCGCACAGGCTATAACCCCCCTGTATTTCATTAAGCCGTGCGCACAGCTTAATGCGGAATAAAGAGGTATTGTCACGACCCAACTCTTAAGTGTACGGTTTGTCACAGGTATGGGCAGCTTAGCAGTAGTGCGCCTATTCCCGGAATTAATATTTGTAGGACAGCGGCAGTGTATGTATTCCCTGGTGGAGCTCTTATCTACAACGGCCTTAGAATTTCTGTGTAGACATTTCCATTGTCGATACTAGTGGCCCGGTAAAAGGGTTGGGTATATGCGGTCGAAAACCTGTATTCTTCTGTTTAAAGCGTTCTACATATCCAAACGTAGTTATATTGAAAGGCCAACTGGACGCTATCTGCTTTCAGCATATTGAATACACCCACCTCATCCCAATATTACAGGAGAATTTTAGCTTATATAGGAACCAAAAGGCCCGAAACAATAAATCGGCTAGGTACAAGATTGCGTTATAATTCGAGACACATTATCCAAATATCTGCTGCGCTCTAATCACCCGGCCCATTGTCACCTTTGCAACCCCTGCTGCATAATAGCTATATCCTCTTCGGTGTACCTTCAACGAGATTTTTTGAGCCTATTTCAAAGGCATAGTACCATTTGCATGATTAACAGGTATGTCCCCTTGTGGGTCTTTCTCTTACTGTTTTCCTCCTTTCTCTGTTCTGTTTTAAATATCCCATATTAGACGTAGCGTGGATGTTTTGGCAGCACTCCTCGGAGATGTTCTTGCAAGGCAGTCAAATGAAATACGCCACAGGTACGTATCTAACCCAATTTGCCTAGTGGGCCACCTATCTCGTATGAGCGTCGGAAACGTGGAGCTTTCCGCTTCTCCACTTTACGGCTCGTGTCACAAACTAGTCGCGAAACATGCAGTCTGCGGTGATTGCCGAAATATGATAGATGACTCCCGATATACCCCGTGATGAGTTGCATACCCACTCTCCAAAAACCACTCCCTCCCTCCCCCCGTCCTTCCGGCTCCCCTTTTGTTCCCCTCTGGTCTACATAAAAACA